CTAGGCTGCCCGCACATATGCACGACATCGCTTTCGATCTACACAATCCGGGATGGACACCGGAGGCTATTGATCGTTTGGCCGACACCCTTGTGGAGTATTCTGACGTGTTTTCTACTTCGAAAACGGATTTTGGTTCTTGCATCATCATGCCGTTCACTCTTTCTGTTCCAGCAGGGACGAAGCTCGTTGCATCACGTCCGTATCGTATCAACCCGTTGATGCAAAAGAAAGTGGATGCCGTTTTGGACCAATATTTGGCGGCAGGACTCATTCAACATTCCACATCTCCGTGGGCTTCTCCTTTGGTTGTCATCCCCAAGAAGGACGGATCTGTTCGCATCACCGTCAACTACAAACGTCTCAACGCTCTGGTGGATTTGGATGGACAACCTCTCCCTCGAGTGGACGGTATCTTGGATTCTTTTTACACCGGGAAAGTGTTCTCCATCTTCGACCTCAACTCGGCTTTCCACCAGATCGTTTGTGATGAAGACACTGTCCCACTCACCGCCTTGTGCACTCCCACGCAGTTGTTCGAATGGCTTCGGATACCGCAGGGCGCCAACGCAAGTCCGTCTTGGTTCGTCAAGGTCATCAACAGAGTGGTGCACGGTCTGGAGCGTGTGCTTGCTTATCTGGACGATGTCATCTGTTTCGATGAGGGACCTCTGGGACACGTGCTGAACTTGATCGAGTTCTTCAAACGACTGCGACAGTACAACCTCAAACTGTCTCCAGGGAAGGCTCGCGTCGGCGCCACGCACGCCAACTTTCTCAGTCACACCATCTCTCCGGCAAGTGTTAGCCCTGATGACGTTAAGGTTAGGGCGCTCACGCACATGCCGCCGCCGCCGAATGTTAAGAAGCTTCGGAGCCTTCTCGGTGGACTCAGTTACTGCAGTACTGGGCCCGCTATAGTGCCGGTATGTGCCCAGAGATAATATCGGCACTGTTGAGGGCACCAGCACTAATCAGAATAGTGCCTCAATAGTGCCGATTCAGCACTATTGAGGTTTCGAATATCCCTCAATAGTGCCGGTCCGGCACTATTGAGGAGATGTTTGATTTCATGCTGTGGCGCTCATGCGTTGCGGGGCGAACAGAGCACGAAATGGATCAAACTTAGTGAAGGTCTATCGTGGGCGTAGGCATCCTTTCTCGCGACAAGTATGGTTTCCCCCTGTCGCACACAGAGGGCGAGTTGTAAAAAATGTTTACTTGCATGTTGCACCGTTATTTCCTGCCTGCCTCAGCACATGAACTGTACTGCACACCCTGAACTGTCGAAACTGCTGTTGACGGCAAGGTGCTTGTAAAGCTCCCGTTCGTACAGAGTGGACGTAGCTATATCTCAGCCCTAGAGCCCCTNAGTGCCGGTCCGGCACTATTGAGGAGATGTTTGATTTCATGCTGTGGCGCTCATGCGTTGCGGGGCGAACAGAGCACGAAATGGATCAAACTTAGTGAAGGTCTATCGTGGGCGTAGGCATCCTTTCTCGCGACAAGTATGGTTTCCCCCTGTCGCACACAGAGGGCGAGTTGTAAAAAATGTTTACTTGCATGTTGCACCGTTATTTCCTGCCTGCCTCAGCACATGAACTGTACTGCACACCCTGAACTGTCGAAACTGCTGTTGACGGCAAGGTGCTTGTAAAGCTCCCGTTCGTACAGAGTGGACGTAGCTATATCTCAGCCCTAGAGCCCCTCCTTCGATATTGCAAGATACAAAAGACAAAACAGAAAAAAAAACACGACAGGAAGCGCACTGCAAGAAAACAAAAATCAATACTACTGCACTACAGTTGTATCTCCCCCCAAAACTACGTCGCGACACTGGAGTGTCTGCCTGGTGTACCCGCTTCGATGTTGCAAGAAAAAAAAAAAAAACTACAAGTACACGACAGGAAGCGAACCGCAAGAAAAGAAACAACCATGAACTCTACGTCGCGACAAATCCCCTAATGTCTGTCTGGCGCACCCGCCTAGCGGAATGCGCTGCGATCATCGACATCTTCGCTTTCGCTAGGTAGAACGCCGCGTCTCCGTTGCCACTGTCCTCTGCTGCCACTGCCAGGGCGCCGAAGTGAGACGAGAGTTCTTCATAACCCGGTGGCGCACGTGGGGCACGGCGCTCGCGCCCCGTGTTCTCACAGCCGCCGCCCTGGTCCTGTTCGTCCTCCTCGTCGTCACCGCCGGTAGACAAGTTCGTTCCAGCCAGCAGTGCTGCCATGTCTTCCACCGCGTCCAATCGAAGAGCCTCTACCACCTCCTCCTCGTCCTCGATGGTAGCCCACCCCTGAATCGCGGCCACCGCTTCCCCCACGGCCGGCTTTCCGGGTTCGATGTTGAGTTCTGCCAACAGTTCGCTGATCTCCT